GCCATTTCTTACTGTCAATAACAGAAGAAATCAATTAATTGCAAAACCAAAATAGTAAATAATACTGTAATCAATAAATAGTACGTAATAAAAACAACTAAGGTTTTTATATACTATTTTACAGAAAAATGATGAAGTTTTTATGTTCTTCAAATCGTTTTCTGAATTCCAATACTCTGATGAAGTTTTTATATCTTCAAATTAGAATAGTAAAATTCAGACAGAATACAGGATATAATAAATATAATTTCCATAAGATTGTTATATATCTGTATTGCTGAAAATAAATTAAATAATAATCTTTCTGAAAACAAAAACAGAAAGTTAATAGAAATTAAATTCCGAAAAACAGTAAACTTCTTCAAAATAAATTCTGAAAACGTTGTAGGAACAAATCGAGCCCACTGAATACACAATGTGTCCTTAAGGAAATTATTCCCCTCAAGTACCCGAGGTTCTGGAATATATCCTCCCAGGATAGAACGATGGAACGGGTGTGACACTGTTTCAGAACAGCCATGGCTGTTGAAAATATTGCGGGAAAATTTAAAACAGATTTAAAATAATCCGAGAAAGAAAAACGGGCCGGAGCCGAGCGAGCGACGACGACGGCGCGAGGCTTGCCTTCTTCTTAGCTCTTTAAGAGCTAAAAGATGAGCTTCTCTTTATATACACAAAAATTTTCTTTCCTTCTACCAATGAGGGACAAAGTGCATAAGTGAAATGAACTCATTCAAAATTTCACTTCCCTCCATTTCTTTTCCCACCATTTTCCATTCACACCTCTTTTGTTATTATTTATTAATAACAAACCTAACACCATTGATGAATGTGTAACGACATGCTTTGAATACCAAAATTCTCTATAACGGATTGTGTATTTAATATGGAAAAATATTCGTCATTGACTGTCATTGGATGGCAAACATTCATTTGTCTTTATTACATCAAGGCAGGGAGAAAATGAGGAGTTAACTAAAGGGGTTTGAGCTCTCCACCTCAACCCTGAAAAGAAAAAAAAAACCTCTCCACCTCAACCATGAAAGACGGGAAGCTCACTAAGTGAGTTAGCCCTCCATATATTCGAGAGTCACAAAACTTTGTAGTTATGTTATTTTAATGACGAAGGACATGGAATCGTTTTCATATGATCATCGGTATAGCACTATAGCTACGACAGATCGACAGCATTTTCTTCGTCAACGAAAAGTTAGTGTGACATATTTAAGTTAAAAAACAATTTGTCACTGATATGATATTGTTATTAATTAACTGCTCTAATGACCAAATAATTTTTTTCTTTAGCAACCAAATTAAAGGATCTAATTAGTTGACTATTGGTTAATAGCCTCTTCAAATTACTGTTGGATTATTTCTCTTTCTTATTTTGAATTAATTCCAAAAGTAGAAATCACATGATGCACCTAGGGGTGTTCATAAAAACCCGAAAAACCAAACCAAACCGACCGAAAAAATCCATACTTTTTAGGTTTGGTTTGGCGTTGGTTTTAAATTTTAAAAACCGATCAAATTTGGTTTGATTTTAGTTTTAATGAAAAATTAACCGAAAAAACCCGAACCAAACCGACTATATATATATATAATTCTTTGTATTTTTAATCTAGTTCTTTATTATTATAATAATCTAATTCTTTGCCTTTACATTCTAGTTTGACTGGTAGTTCTCTTTTGCTAAGTACAAGAATTTATTTCATGTTAAAAATAATTAATTTTTAATTCAGTACTTAAATTATTCATCACTATTTGATTCAATTATATTCAAACAGTCTTTCTTGCTATCGAAATCTAAAGGCTCATTCTTCAACAGGCATGCGGTCAGAGCTAGCCCTGGCTCCTCCCACTTCTTGGGAGCTTACGATTTCATGTTCTATTTCACTCCCCGATGGGGGTTCGAAGCTGGCTGACTACGCTCGAGCAAAGCTCAGACCCGGAGGTGGTGGCTGAACTCGCCGCAGAGTTCAGGAGCGAGCAAGACTATCTTGGTGAATGCAATAGCTCAGCATGTCTGGCATCACAGGAGAACGTTCGTTTGCTGATATTATTACCAGTATTCGATACTGGGTCATTCATAGCATTATTATACCTTCCCTATTCATTGCGGGTTGGTTATTTGTCAGCACCAGCATTTTTAATTTCCGGAGTGTTAGCCCCGATTAGCAAAGGGCCGGAGAAAATTTCTTTGAACCGCTAACATCCGCCACAGGGTAAACCACCGCCTCTCACGTCCCCCGACTGATTTTACCATAGAGGCCAACGATAGACAATAACGTCCTTCTTATGTCTTTCCATAAGCAAAAGTATGAGTAGAGCTGCTCTTCCCCTATTCTTAATCCCACTTCTTATGTCTGTCAACAAGAGCCCATCCCCTTTTAGTAGTTCCTATACCTGTCATGCTTCTTGTCGCGCAGGAATATCCACTTTGAATTTTAAAGAGAAGTTTTGAAAACATATTTATTCTGATTCAGGCAGAGAAATGCACTGGAGTACCGATGTCTATCATGCACCAAAAACTCTTGTTGCACCCCAAAAATGAATGGAAGGCTGCAATCTCTTAACTGCCGCGTTTTCTACTCCTGCTAATAGTTTAGCACATTCGTTGTTGTTACTATGGGGTATCATCAATATATCTTGGTAAATGATGGATTTCACAAAGAGCAATTGATTTGATAAACGTTGAAATGTAGTTGCCGGAATATGCGTTTGGTAGTGTATGTCTCATATTAAAGGAAAAAAACCGATAAATAACCGAAAAATTCGAAAACCCGACAAAAACCGAATCGATAAAAAACTGACTTAATTGGTTTGGTTTGGTTCCAATATTTGAAAACCCAACTTATTTGGTTTGGTTTCTTTTTAAGGAAAAACTGACCCAAACCGAACCATGAACACCCCTAATTGCACCCATGGGTGTATGCTTAGATCAATAAAATGAACGGAAATTAATAGGTCTAAATAGTTAAAAATAAAACTAGATTATTCATTCCCATCTGTTTTATATGTGAAATGTTATATTATTATAGTTATCATCTATAGATGTAAGCGATTCATATATCATGTGCTGGACATATGTAGGACGAAAGTCAAAGTGAACGAAATAAACAGATAATTGGGGTATAATTCTTTTTCCTTTGCTCTTTCTAGTAGTATTTTGTCGATAAAATTTATTCGCACTGGATAAATAAATTATAATATCCCTTAATAATGATACAACTGATATGTCAATAGACTAATTGAAAGCCAATTTTTGGTACAAATATTAATATATTTAATTTCAAAGTGATGTATTATAAGTTATAAAATATATATGTCCCTGACAGATTAAGTTACGCCCATCTCATTCTCAGAGAGCTAGTTGTACACCAATATTACATCAATTTACTTCATATAATTAAATGAAAGGCTAAACTTTTTTGCCTTTTTAGTTTAGTTAATTAATGATCAACTGGTCAAGAAACGAGGACCACTTTTCGAAGACAAAAAAAATTATTTGGATAATAAAAATGATGTAGATTCATCGTGTTTAAAGCATATTCCATTCGGAAGCCTCCAAATCTGAAAACATGTAATGCCAAATTATGATTGTTATATCTAATGTTCCTGGAGCCGATGGTCTATCGAAAATAGCTTCTTTATCTTTATAAGGTAGGGTAAGTTCTGCATACATACTGCCCTTCTCAGATCTCATTTATCGAAAATGTTGTTGTTGTTGTTGTTTGCCAATTATAACAAGACTCCATCCATGAAAAGTAAATTATGTATTATCCACACGTAAAAGCAATACAACGTTAATTAGGCCAAGAATGAGCATGTGTTTAGTGTTTTTTCAAAGTTGTGTACTCATCTTTTATGCCTCAAAAATCTGTCCAAATGAAATAGTAAAATTTACTAACAAATTGGTATCACGAGAAACAAAGAAATTATTCCAGTGTACATTCAAATATTCACTAGTTATTCTTATCTCGAAGTTATGTATACTCTGCGCACCTTGAGCTAAAATAATAGAACTTTTTTCTATTATATACTTTTATATATTAGCAGAGATTTTTTTTTTTTTTTGTGCTCTACTTGTTCGGTTCTGCACAATCATTACACTTAACAATGGAAAATTATTAAGTTAATACCAAATCAAACAAAGCTACCAACATCACAGTAGAGGACCACGGCGCCATTAATTTGCTGTACACAAGGACATCGTCTTTTTATTTATGCTATTTGATTATTTATTATATCTCGTCGACAGTCCTTAGTTCATCATGTCCTATGATGATAATTGTTTTAACAATAAATAAAACCAAGAATATTGTCCGGTTACGTTATATAGATATAATAAGACACCACCAAACAACACATATCAAATGGAAAAACTAGCCTCGTACAACTTCGTTGATTGTGTGACATATAAAATAAACTTTCTCCTATTCAACTATTTAATCACACTCCAAATTCTTCATATATATGAGAAGAATTAACATAAATAATCATTCACCCAATCGTTTGAACTTAAAACTACTGTTAGATGTATTATATATAAATAATTCAATTATACAATATATATAACGGTGTATAATCAATATATAATCCATATAAACCGGCTAGGAAAAGTAAATAGTGAATGTGGCTGGCTATTTGTGTAAAGATCCCTACCAAGCTTTTTTTTGGCCAAAATTAAATTTTGTTAGTGTTTGACCAAGCTTTTAGAAGGAAAAAAGTATTTTTGAGTAGAAGCAGAAACAGTTTTTGCGAAACAGAAAAAGTAACTTCTTCCCAAAAGTATTTTTGAGAAAAATATACTTAGAAGTACTTTTTAAAAATTTGGCAAAAATACTAATTGTTGGTCAAAAGTGTTTTTCAGATTAATTAGCCTAACACAAATTATTTCTCACCAAAACCAAATTTTTGAAAAGTATTACAAAATAAACTGATTGGAGAGCTCGACGAAAGAGACTATAAATAAGTTAAGCTGCATGAATAAGCATAACAAAAACGCACCTGAGAGTTCTCTATTTCCATAACTAAAACACCAATTACTCGAGAAATAAAAGTTTATGGGTTCTGAAACTATCAAACTTCCAAATATAGACTTCTCAAATGAAGACCTAAAGACAGGCACTCTTGTATGGAACCAAGTGAAAAATCAAGTGCACCAAGCCCTAGTAAACTATGGCTGTTTTGAAGCATCATTTGATAAAATTCCTATACATCTTCGAAAATCCATTTTTGAATCCTTAAAAGAGCTTTTCGATCTCCCTTTACAAACCAAAATAAGAAACACTTCAACCAAACCTTTCCATGGCTACGTTGGACAGTATCCAGCAGTTCCACTTTATGAAAGTATGGGTATTGATGATGCAAATATATCAGATAAAGCTGAAAGTTTCACTCGAATTCTCTGGCCCGAAGGAAACCCTAATTTTTGGTAAAACATCCTTCTCCATTATTTCTTTATTTTTAACTTTTGACCGGGGCATTTGGTGGCCTAAAGCGGAACTTTAATGGAAGTTTGGGGCCCCCAAAATTCCGGGGCATCCGAAATTCAAAGCCAACTGGTTCGACTAATTCAAATACGTGCTAGATAGGTCCATAAAAAAGATAAAATTCTCCCTACCAAGAAGTTCTCTATTTTCAAGGTTCGAATAAGACAACTGTGGTTAATAGTGGAAAGATATCAGCCCTTACATAGTGGCGGGTCTATTTAAGAGAGTACAGATTTAGTTGGACCTAATATTTTTGAGACAGTGATTAAACGAATACGTGAAATTTCAGTAAATTTTTAATAATTACGTATTGTATTAAATTTTGAACTCATAATTCTGGATCCGCTGCCATCACATCCCTCAGTCGTGTATAGATGCTATTACTCATGTTATCTTTTTTTTTTTTTCCTTTTTTTGGTTTAAAATATTTGAATAATTTTTCGTTGGCAGCAAAACTATTCAGTCATATTCAGAGCAACTATCAGAATTGGATCAGACAGTAAGGAGGATGATTTTGGAGAGCTTAGGGGTAGAAAAGTATATGGATGAGCATGTGAATTCAACCAATTACCTTCTTAGGGTTATGAAATATAAAGGACCTCAAAGCAATGAGACTAAAATAGGACTAAATGCTCATACGGACAAGAACATTGTTACCATACTTTACCAAAATCAGGTAAATGGTCTTGAAGTTTTGACCAAAGATGGACACTGGATCAATGTTGAACCTACACCAGATGCTTTCATAGTCATGATTGGAGACTCTTTATATGTAAGCTCTACCATTATTAACGTGCTATTTTTGCTATGTTAATTTCTTCATTTAACTTATACACACTCCCACTCGCCAAAAAAAAAACAAAAAAACTATACTAAGAGCAAGTAACCTATCTTATTTTTCAGGTTATTAATTCTAGTAATTTTATGCACAGGGCTGTATCTAGGTTAAGGGGCATGGGTTAACTTGAACCCATGCTCCTCTCCTTAAATCATATTTAACAATATTATATTTTCTAAAAATTATTCAGATATATATGTGTGCACCCATGCTTAAAGACTCCTATAATGCAACAATTATTGGGTGCACCTCTACAAGTGAAATTGAAGGTTCAAATCCCATTTCGGACGGTCTTATTTTCGGCATGGAATATAAATATATATGAGAAAATCACTAAAATTTCAAAATGAATATAATTATTTTGAACCCACAATTTCAAAAGTGTAGTGGGTTCATGGTAAAAGACTAAAATTAAACCCGTCAAATCAAAATTCTAGTTCCACTAGTGCACCTATCATCCTGAAATCCTGTATCCGTCTCTCTTTATGGACAATTACTTATAGTTATCTTTCTACCTATCATCTTGAAATCCTGTATCCGTCTCTCTTTATGGACAATTACTTATAGTTGTCTTTCTACGTAGGCATGGGCAAATGGTCGAGTTCATTCGCCATATCATAGGGTAATGATGACAGGAAACGAAGCAAGGTACTCAGTTGGTTTGTTTTCAATACCAAAAGCAGGGTACAAGATAAAGGCACCAGAAGAGCTTGTAGATAAAGAGCATCCCTTACTCTTTAAGCCCTTTGATCACGTTGAATTCCTAGCTTTCTACTACACTGAAGAAGGCCAAAGATGTGGATCTGCTCTAAAGACCTACTGCGGTGTCTGAATTTAATTCTTGATTATGTTATTAAGAGTCTTTTTGTCAAAGTGTATATCCTTGTGTTTTACTTTTTATACACTGGTGTGAGTAATAATATTTAAACCAAGTTTGGAAACCAAACAAAATAACAGTTTTGTCGCTTTTATTACTCTCTAGATGAGCCACAGGGACAATGTATAAGTGAAGGGGAACTGCAAAATGAAAAAAATCGCCGTTGCCGGGGATCGAACCCGGGTCACCCGCGTGACAGGCGGGAATACTCACCACTATACTACAACGACTTGTTGATGCTTCGTCTTAATTGATAGTAATTGTCTCTTGTTATGGAACAGACTCACCTGTGCTGATTTAACAAGAGGCGAAGTAATTAATTTCTTTCATTTAGGATGTGTTTGGTATGAGTGAAAATATTTTTCAATTTTCTCATGTTTGGTTGGATTAAATGTTTTGGAAATATTTTCTTCATGAACTAATTTTGTCTAATTGGAGGAAAATGTTTTCTCTATCAAGAGAAGGAAAAATATTTTTCAAAACTCTTTTTCAACCTTACCTACCCTATTCCCCATCCCTACCAACCC